GCTAATGATTCGTGAGAAAGCTGAGGTCTTACAGGACAATGATTTTCCAACTTGATGGACATATTTTTGAGTGGGTCAAAGTGGACTCTAAGACTGGTACAACAAGAAAAGATTAGAAAGGCCTTTCTTATTACCTGGACTTTTTGGCTTTGTACCACTGCACTTCTGTGGTCGATGAAGAAAGTCTCTGGCTTTTTTGAATCCTGAACTTACAGACCTTAACTGCCTGGACTTGAGTCGGAGCTAAAACCTAATACTGCTCATACAGGCTGTCAGCTCAGTGTGACCTATGCTGGGCTGACAACACTGTGGCTCAAGGAATACACCTCTAACTCTGCAGCCTTGCACATGTGGGACACCTTTCCTTGGAGCCCTCCATAGTGAAAACCGAGACTGCGGGTTACCTGTCTGGCTCTCCTACAAATGTCCACAGGAAAGGGCTTGTTCTGTTGGGGGCCCATCTGAACTGCAGCTGCTGACTGGCAGACTATTTCTGACACAGTGACTAACAGCATTCTGTACTTGTGATTATGTACTGCCTGAAGCTGCAGGCTGGGAGAGGGTACATCTCAGGGACTGTGATCCTCTACTTACTCTGGACAGACCGACCTGACTCCCTTCGGAGGTGAGCACTGTATTGCTTTCCCTACCAGCTTCAGTTTGTAAGAATGGACTGATAATCCAACTTGGCTTCTCAGGCTCCAACGCACCCCAGTGAGATCTGACTAAGTATGGCTTTCCTTAGAAAGGGACTGCTCTTTTCTAGGCTGCTCACTTGATAAATCATCACGGTAAAACAGGTGGGAGGATATGCAAACTCTATATTGAAAGTTTCTGAAAATTTGGAATTTTGTTCTGATCCATTTCTGATCATGATGTCTTTCTGGTGAAGTTGTACAAAAATGCCTTTCTGTGAAGATGTCTGCCTCTCTTGCCAATGCCTGCCCCGCCCCACCAGATAAGAGGATGATTAAAAAAATGTATAATTATAATTTTGGAATGAAAACACTGATCGCTGTAACAACTGAAAAAAAATTGAAGCCTCTGCATCTGGGGAAGAGGGAGCAGAGAGGGCATGAGTGACCTTTGTTTTTCAAAACTGTTTTTGGAAGCTTCTACCTCTTCTTAAACGAAACCTCTGAGTATGCCTTTGCAAGCTGCTGGGAATGACACTGCTGAGCATATGATCACTGAAAAGGGCTGACTATGCCCCAGCACCAGGCGGCCCAGCCCCTGCACTTTACATCTGAAAACCTACCGATGTTCAAGCTCAGGAGGTAGATGAACCAGGCCTCTGATAGCAAAACCACTTGGAATTGACTGATAGTCCTGAAGCCGAGGACTGGACTAAATTACTTGGGCTGTAGTAGGAAGCAAAGAACAAGCTGCTGCTCACAAGGTCCTCTTTGTTTCTAGGATTACCGTGTAGTCTCTAGGATGGAGCTTCTCCTGACACTGTCTCAGTCTGGGATGGCTTGCTGGTCAGCTTCAAATTACTGGCCACAGTGATGTTATGCCTGAATTGATACCTTGGGCAAGAAACTTATGGGGAAAGCCACCTGACTTTCTAAGACAGACCTATTATAATTAAAAGGATTTGCTTTCACTGTCTTAAGTACACAATTCCTAAAGTGTCCTACCGAAACCAATAAAGCAGTTGGCCTCAATACTTTTTGGGTCTTACTGAGGATACTTTTACTGTCAAGATGTCTTTGTCAGTGACAAGTGGGCAGAACATGTGGCTAAGAGTTAACACAGCAGGCCCAAATGTCTGTCCCTGAAAAGGCCTGCTTACAAAGACTGCCCTTTGCTGGCATCTGTGAAATTAGATTTCTGTTGAGTTGCCACCATCCTGATAAGAATGGTTCATCCAAACTGTACAAACCACTGGCTCATGTTGAACACCTGCTTTCCTTCAGAGAGGCTGCAATTTGGGTATGTGTCAGGCAGAAGGTGCGAACTGAACCAGCCCTCACTAAAAATCCCATGTATAGGGTCTCTAACAAGCTTCCCTGGAGAAGATTCTGATGTGTGTTGTTCAAACTGTTGCTTTTGGAAATAAAATGTGTCCTTGTGTGCCTCCCCTGAGACAGCAGAGGACCCGTGTAATCCTGCATCTGTTTTCCCTCAGACTTCACCCTTTGTACTCTTTCCTTTGCTCATTTTGCTTTGTAGTCTTCCACTGTAAAAAAATCATAGCTATGAATAAAACCACATGATAAGCACTCTGAGTCTTCCCGTGAATGACTGAAATTGAGGCTGTGGTCTTGGGTATCCCTAACACAAATAGGAATAAGTATAAAATATTCAAGAAAAAGTAAGAAGGCAAATACGGATGAAGTTATGTGAGCAGAGTGGCAGAAGATGAAGGCTGAGAAAGAGACAGCCTGATCACACAAGGCCTTGTCAGTAAGGGTGAGATTCTGGGTATGACAGGAAGCCACAGGAGGCTCCTGAGCAGAAAGGAGGATGAATCAGGCCTCTGTTAGAGAGCTGAAAAGAAGGAAAAAGAGTAAAATTGGGGAGCCTGAACAGAAACTCTTAGGTACAGGAAGTTCTTCAGTTACCCTTGAAATCTTTAGAAAAGATCCCCAAGTAACACATACAGGAGGAATTGTAGAGTTGCAAAGTCACCACTTTGCAAACTAAAAAGAGAGAAAGGGTCTAAGGGATAAATATAAATAGGTCAATGAGCAGCTCCCGAATGGCTGATCAGCCTGACACCATCTGATTTCACTGAAAAAAATTTTAATGTCAAATTAGAGATGGGAAAGTCAGGTACTATATGCATCCGAATGTAACGCAGTAAGTGTACACCACCACCTAGGAAATAATTCTCTATAAAAACGTAGAATCAAATCTACTCACGCTTTTCAAGTTAACTTCCCACTTTACAGAAGACACAGCAAATAGTGGAGTAAGCTAAATAACACTATAACTAGACTCAAAACATGGGAAAATGTACAGCAGAAAAGTCATTATTTTTTTTTCTTTTTGATGCTGGGGATCGAATTCAGGACAGGCTAAATCCCCGGCCCAAAAGTCATATTTCTGTAACACATAAAATAACACTTAAAAGGGCAGGAGAACTGTTAAGGTTAAGGAAACTGCAGATCTTAGTTTGGATATGGAATTAAACAAGTCATTATAAAAAGTACCTGGAACAAGTGAGAAAACCAGACAGCCTGGGTATTAAGTGATAAAAGAATAAAAGCTAATTTTACGATTTTGTTGAAAAAACTCTTGTCAAAGAATATGTAGAAAATATGCTTTAAATAAAATACTCTAGGAAAGGAAAAAAAGGTAAAATTGTGTGGGGTGGTAAAGATGAAACAAAAACAGTAGGATGCTGACAGCTTGTACAAGTTGGGTGACAGACATCTTCTATTTTTATGAGTATTTAAAAATCCCCATAAAAAATAAAAAGGAATGGATTAAACTAAAAGACTTGGAAAGATTTTAAGGTAGTTAATATACACTGGACCAAGGAATAGGAAGAGAGTCTCAAAGAAAGTAAAAAGAATTATTTTTCTATAGAATGAAGTAATAGTATCAAATGTTTTTTAAAAACTCACATTCAGTCCAGAAAATTTAAGAATTCTAAGAAAATTATCAAAGATGTACACAGAGATACACTCAAAATGATTTCCCAGGAAAACACTATAAGCAGTCCATGTCTAAGTTATGGCAAATTTACACAACTTTTTACAGCCAATAAACAGCTATTAAACTGTATAAGAAAAATAACATAGGAACATGTTAATAGTAAACTGTTAACTGCAAAATGCAACAAGCAAAATATATATGTTTTGGCGCAATTTAGTTTTTCTTTTTCTTTTTGTTAATGGTACTAAGAATTGATGTAGGGCCTGTGCACTGAACTACATTCCCACATAGGTTTATATTTTAAATTTTGAGTCAGGGTCTCACTAAGTCACTAAATTGCCCAGGCTGAGCTTGAATGTACAATCCTCTTTCCTCAGCCCCATGGAGTTCTGGGACTACAGGTGTATGTGGGTGCCCAGCCCCAACTTAGTTTTCTTAAAACTATTCATGTACCTAGAAAAAAGCCTGTAAGAGTAATCTTCATGATGTTAATAGTTATTATTTTTAGTTGATGGGATTAAGTTACTTTTAGTTTTTTAAAGATGGTTTTTCTATGCACAAGTATGGTATTGTTTCCTGTAAAAATTTTGAAGATGTAAACATTCAAGTCTGGATCAATTTCTGTGTTGTTAATAATGAAATAATAAGTGGTGATGGTGGTGATCTCCAAATTAACAAACTGAATGACAGGAGGGTGGAAGCAAAACACAAAATAGACACATTAATACATTTTTAAAAGGACAGCCTTTTGCTACACTGTTATGAGAAAGACCAAAAGACCAACTTTTTCTTTTTTGGTACCGGGAATTGAACTCGGGTCCTTGCGCTTGCAAGGCAGGCCACCAAACCGCTGAGCTAAATCCTCGGCCCTAGACCAACTTTTAAATGTAAAAGAAGTAAAAGGAAGGTGAGAGTCAAAAGAGGATTAAAGTTTGTATGTTTATGTAAGTTTCAAATGGAGAGGCTGAAAAACAACTACATCAAATTACAGTGATGATTAAAAAGGTTCCTGGAATAAAAATCCTAACATAATTCTGAAAATGTCCAAAGCAGTATGGTAGACAATTCTTTCTGTGCTTCTATTTTTGCATACTATACTGACATATTATTTTAAAAACTTCTTAGAAATTGACATACCAGTATCCAAAGAAATGTCAGGCTATTAATATAGCCTACGTACAATTTCATCTACCTAATTCGGCTATGTGGGTCAAATCTGACAGGCAAATATTGAAATACAGAAAACCCCATAAAAGTATGTTCTATACAATTACATGCAGTTAATAATCTGTGAAATCAGTCTTTTTCAACACCTTCAACAGTTTTCTTCTACACTCACTAGTTTTAATAACATTCTCTTTCCCACATCAGGCAAAAGAAAAGGTCCAGACTACCTGGTTTCCGTACTTTCTTTGGTTCTTCATATCCCTTTTCTGGATGTGGAGATTCTAGAAAGCTGATTTCTTCGGTGGCACTTTTCCCTTCCTGGCTCTTGCGGTTGTCTTCCTCTTCTTGAATGGGGGATTCCAATTCTGATTCTTCTGAGTCAACAAATACCTGACCAGCAACTACTCTTCCTGTGGTAGTGTGATCCTTTACTGACTCATCTGATGGCAAAGAAGTCTGAGAATATAAAGAATTTTTAGTTAGGAAGAGTACCAAGATTGCCTCCAACCCAATTTGACCATTCTTTTTTACTAACCCAACTGTCTCCTTCAGCTCCTTGAAGTGTGGTCCTCCCTCACCTCTACAGGGTTTAGCTTGTGTAAACCGCATGTCTTTATCGCCTGTTGAACTCTCTTTGAATTTCAACTGGGAAGTCCTCCTTAATTCCTAGTGTCGGGGTTATGTTCTCCCTCTCCATAATCCAATCCCCTATGATAACTCTGTTATTATAACTTCCTGTCTTTACCTATATTCTCACTAATCCAGAGATTATAGCGCCTAACTAAGCATTCTCCTGGCATATGTAAGAACCAGTCTTATTTATTTATTCAACCAACAGGTGCAGTATCTCCTTAGAATTCTTTCTGAAAATTTATGTAAATAGAAGCAAATGGCAGAGTCTTCAAAAGTTGGAGATAGATGGGCCAGAGATTTAGCTCAGCGGTTCGGTGGCCTGCCTCGCAAGCGCAAGGACCCTAGTTCGATCCCCGGTACCAAAAAAACAAAACAAAACAAAACAAAAGTTGGAGATTGAACTCAGGCCTTCACTGAATCAGCCAATATATTTAATGGAAACATCTGCTATTCTCTCTCATAGGTCAGTGACTTGTTATTTATTTTTTATCCCAGAAGAATTAGAATATTGATAACCACTTGTCTTTGTTTCTTTTTTAATTCAATTCTGTCACTCAAAAGATACAGACTTCACATTCTTTCTAAGGTACATAACTCTTTGCTTTTAAATGGGGCAGCAAATACCAGCTACCGCAAATTTTAGGACATACCTTAGAATCTAAAGATTCATCCTGGTTGCCGTCTTCATCTGCAAAGAAATTTTAAGGTAATTTAGTCATCTTTTTGTTGGGAAATTACAAACATTACTAAAAGAAAGCATCTGATAGGCACAACAACAAATAAGACACTATGCCTATAATCATTTAAAAATTGGTTATAGGGGCCGGGGATTCAGCTCAGTGGTTCAGGCACCTGCCTCACAAGCGCAAGGACCCTAGTTTGATCCCTGGTACAAAACAAAACAAAAAAAAATTGGTTTTATTGAGCAAAGGTTCATTAAAAGATTAAGCAAAAAGAGGGGGTTGGGGATGTAGCTCAGTGGCACCACGCCTGCCTTGCAAGTGCAAGGTCCTGAGTTCAATCCCCAGTACTGAATAGAAAAAGAAAAAAAAAAAAAAAGGATTAAAGATTAAGTAAAAAGAAATGGGTTCAGGTGATAAATTTTCTCAAGGTAGGAAGATCAATTACCCTTGCTCCCCACCCAAGACACTTGAGATTCCACCCAATTTTTCTGTATTTAGTCTATTACTGACAATGAGTTACTAAGTTTGTAAAAATATACCTCTAATTTCATATTCTTGCTTCTACCTATTCTGTTCCTTTGTTCAGGATCTGGAGTTAAATTAGCTTACCTTATTGCTAATTAGCATTTTACTATTTAATAATGCTGTTAATATAAATAATGTAATAATTACTATTTGTCAGTAGAGTTACCAGACAAATATACTTAGGACTTGTGTTCTACTTTACTAAAGAGATAACCAGATATAGGTAAAAAGTAGCATCACACTGTCCTGTACTCAATCACACGGAAGCTATTTATTAAGATATCAACAGTTCATGTTAAATGATGAATCCAGCCACTAATTATATCTTTCTTCCCAATTCATACAGGTTGCTTTGGTTTTGTTGGATTACATAATATTACTTCTATTTTATTTTTTTCCATATTTTTCGGCTATTACTGCTCTACTGGCTGCTTGTTACTCTTTTTCCTGTTCTTATATAAACACATGCACCAACTCAAATGTCCAGTCACAATGTTTGATCTTTGTATTCATTGCCAGTTAAAACACACACACACACACACACACACACACACACACACAAAACAAATTGTGAGATTATCTCTAGGCTTCCTTCTTGCTCTTAAAATTATCTGAGTTTATATAGGAGCAAGTTTCAGTTCTTCCTGCAGCTATATGAGAAATTAACCAGTAGATAAAATGCTGTAAGACCTTTTGATTTTTACTGGTAAATGTGGCATTGTCTTACTTCATATGGATATGGTTATATCCTAAATATTTTTTGGAACTTGTAACTTTACAATAGAAACATGTTTTGCAATTTGTTATCAAAGTATTAAACTAAGAAGTACAATAAACTTATGCCCAAAATATACAACTCTTATTTCACAAAACTCGTTTTAAGTATCTGAGAAAATCAGTCTACCAGTCTAGTTTTGCCATACGAGGGGGGGGGACAATTTAAAGAACATTTAAATTAAAGCTACTACTTACATTCACTTACTATTAGACTACTTTCAAAGTATGTTTTCATTTTTGGCAGAAGGGTATTTCATGTATTGGCCCCATAGTACCCTTAACACTTAGGCAGTGTTGTCAGTTAAGATTCCTCTTCCCCAGTAACTTCATTACAAGTATCACCCAAAACCCAAGTTCTAACAGATGGTTCAAGTTCCACTTTCAGTAAATTTTGGACAAAGGGAAATACTCATCTCTTATCATGTAGCAAAGCTGAATGCATACAGTCAAGCTAGTTAATACATTAAGAGCAGACTTTTAAGTGTGCAGATTTATAGGATATATTCCCAAACACTGAACTTTGGAGCAGCTGAGACTCTAGTCACTAATCACTAAATCTAGTACTTTGCCACCTGTAAGCTAACAGAAAAATAATACAGATAACATATAAATAAATATAAAGACATATATGTTTGAAACACTACAAGCTGTAAGGCATAGGAGAAGCAAACTATATTTTTGAACTCCAAGAAACATGACTTTCATCAGGATTATTTCATGTGAATTGCATCATGCTTCTCTCTCTAACAAACTAGGAATATATACTAAGATTACTGGTAAACAAGCATTCTTTTTCAGTTACTAAATTGGGAAAACCTACTCCAGATGGTAGTCTTAAAGCATAAGCTGCTTTCTTTTTCAGACTGATATCCACATTCACACAACACTTGTTAAAAGGTTGCTTATGACCAATGCACCTCTGACATGCTGTCTTTTGGTAAAGATAAGAGACAATGGAGTTATGCATAAAGAAAAAGTAAATAGTAAGTGTTCTGCTTTCAACAAACATCAAGCAACAAGAACATAAAGGGATTCAACTGTTACAGATTTCATAGTCATCGATATCACACCTAAAATATAATTATCCACACTACTTTATTAATTGCTCACTTTCCCTTGAAAAAGATAAATTTTCATTTGTATATCAGCTGATAAAACTGCAAAGTACCAGGAATCTTTTTTCAAGGACAAAGTGTTATGACAGATTCATTTTAAATGTAAATTAGGTCAGGTAAATTAGACAGACTGATCCACTTTCAAACATGCAAAGTCTAAAGAGTTTGGTGAAACCAATAAACTTAACAAGGGTGTGGATAAGAGTTTGGTGTAAAAGGACTAGATATCCTGCCTTCTGCATTTCCCCTTCGTTTAGGATATATGCAGATCTTATGAGAGTACTGATTCTGAGTTATTCCAAATCTGAGGTTTGGGGAGCTGAGTTTGAGACTTGGCTTCCCCACAGATTAAACTGAACACTCGTGGTTCAATACTGAAAGCTTGCTCAGCCTTTATTTTCTCAGTCTATCATGAGGGAATAATCCCATTTATCCTGTTGGTTCACACTATGAAATGAACACCTAAAAAAACTGTGAAGTTATACATCTTCTGCAGTCTAAAAACTACTCTCTGAATTTATGTTACTAGTATAACCATTACTTGAAATATGTGGCAGGGGGTCTTATTAAAAATACCATTTCAAACAAAGGAAAAAAGTAAATCATTGGCTTTTTTCTCTCCAAAATAAAGTATTTATTATTATTTTCCTTTTGGTGTGGGGCTTTGAACCCACGGTTCCTGCACATGCTCTATTACTGAGTTATGCCCTCAGCTCCAAGAAAACACATATTTTTAAGTGAGAAAAATGACTGCCTTTTCACTATTAAGAAAATGAAAGAGCAATATCTTTTTAATCTCCTTAAAAGTTTATTCACAGGGAAAAGAAAACATTTCTAATGGAACTCTATTTTTTACAAGTTTCTAAAACAGGGTACTAGATAATAGCTATTAACAGCGATAGCATCAGTATCTTCTTTTTTGGCCAAACAAATTCCACCTGGTTATAAATGCATCTTGCCCTGGGTAACCACCAACACTGACACATAACTTACCACCAAAAACTTATACAGGAGCAGTGCTTTAAATTTTTCAAATGAGGCTGTAATCCCGTATAAATGAGCACTCTACTGAATGAGAAGCCCAACTGAAAAATCTAAGCACTTAATTTTTAAAACTTTACCATGTGTGTTTTACAATGTATGAATTTCAGGTGATGATGGCACAGTTGTCAGAGGACTGGTTTTAGGACTTGCCAGCCTCTAATCCCAGGATATCAAAATCTGATGCCAAAGTCTCTTCTGTAAGATACAGTAGTTTACATATAATCTAATTACTTATGACACCTAATACAATGTAAGTAGCTGTTGTGTTACTTAGGAAATAACAAGAAAAAAGTCTATACATATCCAGCACAAACACAATTTTTTCCTCCATGTATTTTCCATTTGGGGTAGATTGAATCCACTTATGTGACTTGCAAGACAGGGAAGACCAACTGGCCTCTATCACCTTTCAGCATGTGTGTCTATCTTCTTTTAATTTTGGCTAAGTTTTCACATTTACCAGGGCAATGTTTTGGCAAACCTTTTACTATGACGGAAACCAGAGCAGGTAATTTCTGAATGTAGTCCTCCTCTTACAACAACACACCAACAAGATTTAACACTTCGGTATTCATAGCTTTGTACTTTCACATCCTGACAAACCTACCTGTAGATCTTCAAGAATCAACTCCTTACACTGAGTACTAAGTTTATGAAATAGTCAAAAGAAGACGTCTGAATACTTTTCCTTAAACTCCGCAAATTGAATGCTGATGGAATACATATCATGTTAAGTTACCGTAGTTCTCAAATTTTATTATGAAGAACTACTTACAGAACTTGTTCTGTACAAGATCCCTGACCTACTCCAGACGTAAAGCTGAGTTTTTAAAAACTCTTCAGAGGAATTCTGCTGCAGGTAGTCCCCATTTGGTCAGGCATGTTGCCCAACAACTTCGTTTCACATTTCTTTTGCTCAAACAACTGTTCGAAGTGCTTCAAGAGTTATGTACTGAACAGTGTCTAAAGATTTGGTCATAAACACAAAGTATCACTGCAACGGGAGAGGAATGGACCTCATAACTTGATGGTGGCCATAATTAGCATATGTTAGTTGCTTCTGAAATCTATCTCAAACCACATCGTGAACAGAAATTTGGTTCAGGCCTCTTACTTTAGAAGCAGGATGACGTTATGGCATTGATTTACAACTAGGGCAGATAATTTGGGAATTCAAATAACCATCTGGGAAATTTTCTGTTGGAAAAAGTGACATTTATACTCTGCCTTATTCCCCCAAATTTAAAGCTACAGAACAGCTGTCTTGTTAATTGAAGCTGATTAAAATTTCGAAGCTGTTTATCAACTCCTAGAAATAAGCATTTAAAAAATTAACACTCCCCAAATAGGAGCTTTCTGATGTAAGCAAATCAAAACATTAAAAAAAGAAAACCAGAGTACAAACCAGCTAGTTGGAAAGTCAATTCAAAAGCATATGAATTTTCGTATCTACATGAAAAGACGAATAACACTTGCTATTTATTTTATAAGGACCAAGCCTTTCTCAAAAGTCATAAAACCCCCCTCAACAAACACGGGAAAGTCAGAAACACTGTGACAGAGGTCACCACTTCCAAGTTTTTAGAAAGGGAGGTGGAGTAGTTACAAACACATCAGAAGTCTCCGTTTCTAAACAAACAGATCAGGGAGCACCTCAGGTGTTAAGCAAATCCACCGAGCCACTGTCCACATCTTAGCCTGGATGGGCCCTGCTCTGCCCAGAATGACAGCTTGTGTCGATTACAAATCCCAAACCCAGAGCTCCAGAACGGAAGCAACACATCGTCTATATGAGGGTCGAGGAAGCACCAGTCGGATCCGAGGGTCGCGGTGGGGCTAAGCCAACTGTTGGGGTTCAAGACCACGGAGTCAATTCCTCGTCCGAGAGAAGTCGCGTAAAGTTTGTTACGTGGGAGAGGTGTGGGCAGGGTGGCCGCCCCCTCTCATCCTCCCCCTCGACTCCCTAAACAGTCCCACTGACCCAGGGCAACCGGAGCCCAAAGAAAGGGCAAGTGACAGGCAGGGCGAGGCCTGACGAGCGAGCGCAGCCCCGAGCCCCCGGCGCCCGTCCGCAGGTGGAGGCC